ATTTAAATTTTACGAATTTTATAAAATTTCATGTTCTTATGTAACATTAATCTGTCATTTTGACAATGTTGGCATAAGGTGCCGAGGACGAACATTTGAGTATATACGGAACATTTGTTAATTTTTTTTGCGAAGTGAGTCTCATGAACGACAATTCACCACAATTTTGGTAATATTAATGTTGAAATGAAGAATATATTTCAGTCTAATGTTTGTGCAAAATATCATTAGTCCTTTGTAATCACCGCACGACGCGCGATTATCATGGCAACTAACACGCGCGTGGGTAAATCGTCACGTACAGTTTCTGGTCTGGTTGCTTTGGTTTTTGTGACGTTCAGCGTGTAGGGACGCACGTGCGCCTAGAATGTCGATGCCAGAGTTATAACCTTTGATGTCCCGAGATGTGCGTCCTTCTGATGAATTGCCTTGATTTAAACAATACATTAAATTTATATATTAATATAATAATGTTAACGAAAAAATAACAATAACTAAACTGTGTACATAGTGTATCACTACTACAATAATAAGATTAACATTTTCAATCTTATAATAAATTTTATACAGCCGGTGTTATGTATTGACCTAGGCTACTACGGCTAATGACAGGTACGCTTTCACCATTAAAAGCCTTTTCTATGAATGGAATGACCTGTACGAAACACGAGCTCCTGTAGACCAAACCCAGTACCGTTATGATTTTAATTGTGCGGGAAATATCCTCTAGATTCAAACAGGGACGAATGTAGTGATGACAACCGTCTGCTCGAGAAACTGATCAAGTCAGTGCATCTCTATAGTCTGTGACCAGGTGTGTAGTGACGAACGGCAGGCTAGGAGGCCTCGGAGGAGACCTGTTACACACAACCTAGATGTTATCTAAGAAAAACAAATCTGAACTGTGTTAAATACTAAAATCTATAGCTACACGAGAAACTCCCATTAAATAGGTAAGTTTACCTCTCTTCTATATCATTATATAGGCAATAAATAACAGAAAGTGTTCTCAAATTAGAGGGGTCTCTAATTGGTGTGTTTTGTATTGTACAGTGTATGCAAATAAAATATGAATTGCCAAAATGAATTTTATAATTCTCCATCTTCAACTTGATATACATATGAAAAATAATTTAGTCTTCCTACTCTACCTGATTCAACATAATATTGTACACATCTTTGCCTTCAACATAAACTTGTGCTTTGCCAACCTTCTTAACACAGTCTGCATCAACAGGAACTCTGTTACCCTTAATTTGGACACTCTTCACACCTATTAGTACAAAATCAAGTAAACATCAATTTTACACAAATCTAATGTAATAGACACTATCAAAAGACTACAGGCCTCTTAAATTGCCAGAAATGTGCAGGTTTCCCGAATCCCGGACTTGTATAAGAAGAATCCCTGCTTCCGGGAATTTTTACAGTTTTTCCCAGAAAATAGAGAATTTTTATTGTGAATATTAAAATGGCTCTAAGTGTATATTTTAAAAATTAAATAACTTTTTTCTTGCAAAAAAATTAAATAACTTTTTGCTTTCAAACTTTTTTCTCTTTCAAACATTAGGTTACTTACAATTTAAACATTTCCATGCCTTCGCATTAACACCCAAGTTCAATAAACCCAACTTATTTTGCCTAATGTTTGACACTTACAAAAAGCGTTCCTGTTCAATATTCTTAATGACTTTTGGTAACGGCATGACACATTGAAATAAACATGGCATACGTGTAAAACGAGAAAGTACCCAGAAATTTCACTTTAATAAACAACAAACTATCCAGAAACTTCACTTTACCAACTTGTGACCTCTGCGACTAGTAGTGTGGTCATGTGACAACTATTTGAGATAACTTATAACGTGATTAGTTTAACAGCATAGGAAAATGTAATGTTATGGTTTAAAAAAAAAAAGCAGTCTACTTTTGTTTATAAGCAATGGCAAGGAAAGGCAGTAAAATCGATCAAAATAGTGTTTATACTTATTCTTGCATTCTCTATGCATGTTACAGTAGGTTAAGGAATTTACATGATCATTTGTGAACACTAAGCAAGCCTAGAAATCATCCCACTTGTAGTACATGGATCAAGGACTCTTGCATACCTACAGTATTTAATGCTCCCATAAAGGGAATTTATTCATCAAACTCCAGGCCTCCGGCCCCTTGTAAACAGTATTTACAGTATTTGTGGCAGTAGGTATGCAGGGTCCTAGTTTAACATTTCATGAATAATCTCAATATTTGGGACTAGTATCATCTGAAGCAATAACAAAACATTATGACAATGTTTCCAACTTAATTTCTAAGCAATTTGGAATAGTTTACAGGTGCTCTTACAAAAACAACGATGCACCATGCATTAGAAAAAACCTGAAGAATCCATGCATATTCCTATACCATGCGTCACTCGCACTGTCTATTTCACCCAATAGTTATCCCACGACTCTAGTTGCCAAGTGTGTCTATAGCCATTCATTGCTGATTTATATCAATACAATTGGTATTATTAAATAACTAAAATGAATAGCAATGCATAGACCACTTCCAAACAGCTATGTTCAAATATTGTGGCCTCTATGTCATGAAAGTGGTAGCTTACTTGATCCTGATCTGCTGGTTGATTTTACATCTTTTGGCTCGGTTTTTACTTTAACCGGTGATGATTTTGCACTTTTCGCAGCTGGCTTCTTGGATGTCCCATTTGGTTCGCCAGTGTCGGGCACTGCATGATCTAAAATATACAACAAAAAAAAACACAATCTTTCAAAAGCTATCCCTTTGCACTTTTCTGAATACAGATCTCCCTCTAATTAAAAACCCCTCCAATCAAAGACAAACAAATGTCTTTTATCTGTATTACTCCAGTCCCAAAAGTTGTCTCTAACTGGAAGTAGACCTGTACTCAGTGCAGCTAAGAACATTTTCAGTTTAATTTTTTTGTCAAAATCATCATAATTGCTATATAACCGATCAATATGAGGATTGTTCCTCAGAATTTCATCTTTCAAACTAGTTATGCTCTAATATTTATCTAATAATTAGTGTATTTAGTTTTAAGCTAATTAATTTTTTTCCTGGTAGGTATATTACAAGTTATTGCAATATAAATATAAATTCAAAGTAGATTTGCATTTTCTTAAAGTAAAAAATAATATAGAGATTATAATATTGAGATTTACACCGCATCTTTTGCCAAGGGATACAAGGCGCTGGCGATGTTATTATTCAGTGTTCGAAATAAGGAAAAACTTAAAGTTGTCCGGCGGACAACCTAGATGGAAACTTTGGTTGTCCGCAAATGTTTTTACTTGTCCGTATATCATCTGTTGCTTTATTTTTACCTTGCACTGTTTTCCCTCCCGAATTTGTTTTTTCCTTCAAACCCAGCCATTTCCTAAGATCGTTCGACCTGACGAAAAGTTTGATGAAAAGTTTGAACGCCTTCCCACGCGCGCCTCCATTCGCCTTGATACGCGAGTCAGTGCCTTGTTGGGCGGCCCGCCCATAGAGCTAGTATTAAACAACTAGTATAACTATAGAGTGCTGACAAGATGGGGCAGCATTGCAGAGTTATGTATGTGTACCATCCAAGAGGGCCGTTGTAGTAAAGCGCCACCTTCAGGCTTAGTATAAATATTATTACATATTAATAAGCCCTCTGACTTTTATTAATGATAATGAGTAATGGTAATAACAAATTATTAAACTATTGTAGCCAAAACGAGGCCAAGTGGAGCATCTTATTAAAAAATAAAGTACCAGGAATGAAAATTAAAATTGTGTACATTAAACCCAAACACCGCAACGCTCGAGTTTCAAACATACAGGTAACTAGCTGTACTGAACTTTCTGAGTAAATTGAGGGCACAATTGCAAACAATGGTGCTTAGCGAAATTTGATTGGCTAAATCTATGGCAGCCATCTTGGATGGTACACACACACAGTTCTGCGTATTTCGAACATCGAATACATTGCGGTCAGCACTCTATTATTCTTGTTATATCTCCATGGGCCCGCCACATTATAAGTAACACGCGAGAGGGCGCCTCAGTTCAAAACGCGAGAAAACATATGATTCGGCGAATCCAAAATGTAAAGTTCTGGAGGCAACGAACGATTACTTAAAGTGAAGTTTGGGTCCAAAATTTTTTGGTTGTTCTACGGACAAGTTGCCCTATAGTTCTGGTTGTCCGTGGGACTTTTTGGTTGGCTGGGACAAGCCTTATTTCGAACACTGTTATTACCCCCTCTCATCGGATCCATAATCAAACCAGTACAAAGTACAACCTCCTCCACTCCCCGGGGAGTATTCCTAGTCAAGTGTGCAATTTAATGCCGATATAGACTAATACTTGCAATGCCACATCATCCTACAAGGTGCCCATTTATACTTCTGGGTCGAGAGAGGCAAATGTAAGGAAAGTGCCTCGTCCAAGGAGACAAGCCATGCGATGATTGTCGGTCACAAACTCCCGATCAGAAGTCCAACAACTTTCACGCTGCGCCACACGCGGCTACAAGTACCAGTAGTATAGTTACTTGTTCCACTAGCTGTCATCAAGTTGAAGACACTTGGCTGTCAGTACGAGAATCGTTGACATATACACAGCCATTGAGGAAGATCTTTATTTCATTTTTATAATGAATGAATACCCAAGTAGTTGAAAGAAATTTTATTTTCCAACCTGTTTTTAACCTTTGAATGGTTGCATTTTCCTTGGTTGAGACATTGCTTTGCTTCATGTTCTTGATGTCTACTGTCCAGCAATCTACATCAATGAAGTCTTCAGATGCCTGGTACGCTTTTTCTAGGGCAATGCAGTCCAATGGTTTATGCCAATGCCATTTCTTTTTCTTGTCCTGCCACTGCCATAGGTAATCTAAGATCCAAGACATCATAAAAAATGTGATTTTTTTGGAAAGTGACATTGATATTTAATAACTTCATCCTTTCACTGCGCAATGTTTGTCCCACCTCTGTTGCTGGACAATTTTTAAAGTAAATAAGGTGATTTTGAAATAAATGTCAAAAAAATACTAAAAGAGGTAATTTTGAATTTCTTTTTGTGTTGTAGGGTGGGCAAGCGGTTGGCCTATGTGGGGAATAGAAAAAATTGGTGATTTGCTTAATTATGTGGTCATGTGACCTATTGGTAGCCATATTGGATCTCCCATTTGTCATCAATTTTTTTTAAAAAGCTACTTTTTTTCTAAGATATTTTTGTGGAATATGTATTTTTTCACTGGATTATGATGTAGATACATATAATGAATAAAAATATCAAAAGTTCAAATTATTTTCATCATTTGATAAAAAAAATACAGACAAATCAACGATTTTCGTCAAAATCATGAAAAAACATTAATTTTTCAAAAAAAAATCACTTTTCAAAATAGTAAGTGGTTATTTCGAAAATTCTTTTTGCATGCTAGGGTGGGCAAGAGGTTGGCCTATGGGGTGGGCACAATTTGGAAATAGGGGATTGCCTTCTCCTAGGCCGCTATGGTAAATTGCTCCTATAGGCCTACAAAGTCGTGTTCACTGTCTCTATCAACAAAAATCTGATCCACAACTTCATCAACATTATAACACTTCTTTCGAGGCTGTGCACCCGCCATCTTCTTGGTAAACACAATTTTTTATGAGGAAAAATATTCTAGTTGATAGAAAAACTACAGAGGGCGGATGTTAGTACAAGAAAATATTTTTAAAGAATGATTTTTCATAACCCCGGTAATACCGGGGTACGCAGTGCAACGACATATAATTATCCCCGGTAGTACCCGGGGTATGCAGCGAAAGGGTTAACAGGTTTATGCATACCCCGGGTACTACCGGGGATAATTATATGTCGTTAGTACCCGGGGTATGCAGCGAAAGGGTTAACAGGTTTATGAGCAGCATGAAGATGATTTTAATGACATTTTAAAGTTTTTTATAAATTAACTTGCAAAAAAGAAAAAAATTTAAAAAAAGAAATTCTTGTTAATTCATTTTTGTTTCTTCTCATTATTTTCAGATTAGAAGTGTAATGCATTCGCCGGTAAGACCGTATGCACTGTCATGTTTCGCCATTGATCATGTCTTTGTCAGGAATTCCTGACGATGGCGTGATCCGTGTCGGTGATCGGTATCAGGAATGAGTCGGGCGCGGTGACAAATTTCATTTCTTGGAATGTGCAATGCACTTTCTTTTCATTATAAGTTATTAAGTGAAAAATATTACAAAATACTGATAATGTATTAATTACGGTGTATATTAGTTAAGTAAGAAACGTCTTATATAGCAAGACAAATGTACATTTGTTACGTTAAACATTTATTGTGAATTCTTGTTGCACATCTCTTAAACGGTTGTGCCTCTGTTACAAGTTATTTGTTACAGTTACTCTGTAAAGTTATTATTATTTATTATTATTACGAGCACACTGATTATAACTGTAACATCCATGCTTTTATCTAATGTAATGTAGATTTAATAATCTATCTGTTGGTTGAAGAACAGTGAAACTATCTACAAAATATGGTTACTTACATTCATCACCATCTTTGATGCAAGCTCTCATCTGGCATTCCCATCCTGTCTTACTGTTAACATGGACCATCTCTTCCAGTTTTACATCACATTTTTCTCCACCTACATCTTTGACTATCACCTTAGCCTTACGAGTATTAAGTGCTTTGTTTAATAACACTTCATTCTCAGGGGTGTACACTTTCCACACACCTTTTTTTGCCTCCCACTCCCAGCCAAGGTTGGGAGTTGTTTTGCCCTTAGAGCGTTTTGGTGCTGTTGCTTCACCTGTACCTGGTGAAACAAAAATAAAATTATATAAATTTGTAGATCCAATATGAATTAATGAAATTATACAACTTTAAAAAGTAAATTTCAATAATTTGGGCAGGCTCATTCATGTTTGTGGAAAGTCATCAAACTGATTTTGATTACCCATCTTTTTTGGCAATGTATGTGGGCAAGGCAATGCACTTTATCTACATTGCTTCTCTCCATCCAGGACTATAAATAAGTACCTGGTGGGGTTGTCTGCTACTGCGCCAATATGGCAACAACACTTAAAGTTTGTGGACCAAAGACTTTTTTCTGTGGATCCGCCCTTGGTTTAAATTAATGAATAACAGAACAATTTGGCGTGTAAAATAAGATTGACTTAGTAATAATTATTTGAGTTAGGCAAAGTCAACTTAGATAAGTTTAACTGTAGAAACAGCTTGCCTATTGGCTCACTACTGGTGTATTTTTTGAAGCAAACAAAGTCAAATACACGGTTCACAAATTTTCACGCAACACACTCACGTCACTTCGGTCCCTGCCATTGTGTGGTGGAGGTTTGAAATTTATTATGTAATTTTACCGTGATCTACAAAAAATAAAACCATGATGGCAGGAGAGTTACCGGTAGGAAAGTTACCGGTAGGCGATTACCAAAAAACATAGCAATTGCTGAATGCCTAGGTAGGCCTAGTGTAGGCGAAATGCTAGGTAGGATCAGACCATTTGACAGCACTAGCTATAGGCCCTAGGCCTACATCCCAAACCCTGGCTACTCTATTACGTGTAAAATTCCCAGCCCTTTCGAATTTTAGGTACGTCCCGGCACTGCGGGACACAACTATGCTAGGGCCTAGGCCTAAGATAAGTAAAGTAGGCTTTCCGAGGGTAGGCTATAATAATATAATAATCTAATAAATAGTAATAGGCCCCTAATCATCATTGATTATATTATAAACAATGTCAAACCTGCTGAAATATTCCTCTTCTTTGGTGGGGCCATTTCAAACGGGAATATGGATTTGAGATTATATCAATAGTAAACACTTTTGAGCAAAATCGAGCGATTGTGCAGCAATACTGTACTTTAACAGACTAGGCTCGACCAGGCTCGTTTTACAGCTTCACATGCCCTGTGTTTGATGGGTTTCGATTCGCATACAAAAAATTCCCGCCAGAGCCGGTGTCCTACATGGCCAGGAGAGCAGCAGCAGCAGCAGCAGCAGAGCATGCAGCTATACCATCCTGAGCCAGTCGCGTGAAGCACGCCATCAACGTACAAACTCCCTTGTGATAGCTAGAAGCACTAAGCCCATGGGCTCGAGAACAGCCCATTTGGAAAAGAATCCCCATTTAGTTTGTAAAAGTAATCTAGAAAAAGGAAGCCAATGGGCTTCTAATCAAGATATTATGGGCTTTTTTTTAGAGATACACTACTTGCAGTCAGCCCAGGGCTTCTATTCGAAGTAGGTTTTACGGTATATTCATAATTTCTTATTACAGTTTTATGTTCTATTATGGTGAATAAAAGGTGAGTCAAAGAAAAATATTTTACAATGACAATTAAATCTCGAGCAGCACTTTAAAGGCTAACTTATTAGTTCTAGCTTTCGTCCAAACATGGGACTTCATCAGGAGAATGTACAAATGGGATAAGTAACATCTATAGGCCTACATACATCAGTGATAAAGAGGGGGAGACAGGCTGCAACAAAGATATGCAAATATAGACTAAGCAGCATCTGACTAGTTTCAGTTTGTCGAAACCTAATTTGCCGAGTCTATGGCCATTTTGCCGAAACCCAGCTGATGAATTCAGTTCACTGAAATTATGACAACCCAGTTTGCCGACCCAGCAATATCCGACCAGTTAGTCGAAATACGTTTGTCGAAACCAAGTTTGCCTAGTCACATGGCCATTTTGCCGAAAACCCTTTACCGAATGCAGTTCACTGAAATCATGACTGGTTTTCCGAATCGGGCCGTCACCGTCGTACAAAAATACAGCATACTGTGAATAATACTGAAAACAACAATACTGTGGAGAAACACTTGAAGGCATGGCTATCAGTTAAAATTAGAAATAAAATGAAATGAAATGGAGGATCAAGTATTGTATCCCCACTAAAAAAAACCCTTTTTTCTGGAGCCACCACCACGTGTGATTATGGATTATTATTAATTAATTAATTTCCTTTAGGTCTACATATTATTATTATTATTATATATCTTAGTTAAACGTTATGTACTTATTATAAATGTCCTTATAAAAATTTGATCTGAAAGGCCTATTCAATTATTATTTATTATTATTTTTTTTGCTGATAGTCTAATTGTTAATCAAATTTACAGAATATGACGAAAGGAATCTACAATAACTACTGTAAAACCTCGAAGAGAAGCCCTGGGCTTCTTTGTTTTGTTTTGTTTTGTTGTGTTTTTGCAAAGAGGGGGCTTCTTTTCAAAATGAATGCTATAAATTTGGGGAATTACTAATAATTATAAAACAAATAGGGCCAATGTAACATCAGTCTGTATCATGGGTGTATTAACCGGCATCAACTCACAAAACTAAACCAAGCGTGTTTATTTCGTTTCTTTGAAATTCATGTACAGTGTATGTACTGTACTATCTCGAAAAGAAGCATTATGCTATCTTGTAAAAAAGCCTATTTTTGCTTTTCGAGATGGGCTTTTATTTTTAGGCTGCTTTTGCAAACTAAAGAGGGTGTTTCAATTCGAGATGGGGATTTTCTCGGGATTGTAGGCCCAGTGGCTTCTATTCGGGGTTTTACGGCAAGCCACTATTTATGTTATTATACGAATGGTAAGAGTGCTCCATCGTGAACTTTATGCTGTTGTCAGTGTTTTACTACTTTTAATTGATTTTCGGCAAACTGGGCCATGGATTTTGAGTCAAAAAATAAATAAAAATAAATGTATAAACCCAATAAAATCCAGGATAAATTAAGGTTTAGCTTTGTGTTAAAAGACTGAAGATTATCAGTTGTGCCTATAAAAGCGAGTCTCCAGAGGGCGTCGAGTGTTTACATTGAAGAAAGATGCACAGCCTGTGAATGGCTTAACTTTTATTTTAACTATTGCAGAATCATCGGTTTTTAATTAATTTACACCACGGTAATGTGAAACAATTGTTTCGTCAGTTATTAATTGTTGTTTATATGTACTGCAGTTCATGCATCAAGGACCTAAATTTAAAGTGAAATTAATGTTGAAATAATAATGTTGATGAATAGTATCTTGTTCTGTCTCTATTCATCTTGTATTGAAAATTGGCAATACATACAACAATGCAAACGGTATTGTAAAACGAGAACATTTCGTCATTTTTACTGTGTGCCGAAAACTCGAATTTCACATTTAGGGCTAGTGTCTCCAAATTCAGGAGACACCCCAAACTAAGAGAGCACTTTATTGGTCCCGACATGGCCTAATTTGTGATACTGTACATTGCGCTCTTTCTCTAACGATAAACATGTCAGAGTAACGTACAGCGAAAGTGCTAATTGATCACAGGTCCAAAGATGAACCACCCTTATAATAATTATTTTAGAATTAAATAATGATTATGGATAATAATAGTAGGCCTGCTTTTTTCTTCAATATAATGCATCTTGTTCGTCCGATCCTTTGTCCTTACGACGTATGTATTTTGATGGTACAGTATTCTTAACATCTGTGTTATATTTCTCTATTGTATAGTAGGTCTATATTATTATATTGTATTATTATTATTATTATAGCTCCGATAAAAGGGTCAAAATAATAGTAACTTCCAACCATGCAGATCGGGGTAAAAGTTTTCCGACTTACAGAAATTTTACACCCGGCCCTTTCTGCCCTGCTTTTAAATATTTAAAAATCTGTATCTCATCATGGAGGTATATAATATACAATATATGTATATATATTTTATACCTCCATGATCTCATTCACCGTTCCAGAGTTTTTCTCGAAATACAGTATCGATTTGTGTTGTGTCTTAGAAAAATCAGTTGTAAAACCTGGACCTGGTTTTAAATTGATTACCCGCAAGTAGGTCTACTTTTTAAGTCTAAATACTTAAGCATTTAAAAACTGGGGGAAAATGTGTGTGGTTACCA